TTTATTTGAACAAGTTTATTTTATTGAGTTTTATGTCTTTTACATGAGAATCTTCTTTGGATGAGATTGACAAAATTTTGATTGAATGCTTTTTGACCATAAACTATGTGCTCTCTATGAAAATTAAATTCAAAATTTTTCTCATGCTGAAAATTGTTTGTTTTGAAATTTTGTTTGAAAAGAGTTGTTGAATGCATTTTCATAGGGGGAGTATTTATGAAATATGTTTTTTTTTTTTCTAAAACTTTTGTTAGCTTGTTTATAAAAAGTGTTTGATTGATTATTGTGAGTTTTTTTGTCTATATTTGATTGATATTTTTTGTGGTGGCATAAGTCAATTTAGACCTATTATCAAGTACATTTGACATCAATGTTTGTTTGATTAATATTTTTATGATGTCATTTGCTTATATTTAATCTGTAATTCTTTTTTGGTGGCATAAATGGTGATATTGTTATTTTGACAAATTGGTATCAATTTTGTTTTTTTTTGCTTTATCAATTGGTATTTATTCTCTAACATTTAATATTTTGGTATCATGATGGTGTTTTATATATTGCATGGATTTAATAAGTTCATTCCTTGAGATTAACTTGCTTAGACTATCATTTGATTTGAGAATTTGTTTTTGTGCATAACCATGACAATTAAAATTACTCTCTTGAAATTTTTCTTGTCTTATGCCATATTTTCTTGACTGGAAATTTTGTGTAATATTTTGATAATTTGTCAGAGAAAGATGAATCTACCATGATTTTTTTATATATATCTATCTTGTGCAAATTGTTGAGATAATTTTTGTTTGTATCTCTTTATCTCCTTGATATTTATTGATATGTCTTTTTAAGAGGAGAATGCATATCTTTAGGGAGAGTTATAATACTTCATTTGTGAATGTGATAAAATTATTTCTACATATTGCTTTTTATTGTTTATGTGATTTTTTTTAAGAGTATGTATAGTGATTTTGACATTGAGTATGTTGGGAGAATTTGCTGAAAATGTTCAAGTTTATTAAAGCTAAAATTGCAAAAGCTCTCATGAGCACCTCTACTAAGTTTGATAAGGATTAAACGCTAAATGTGTTGATGTTACAGCTTATTGAGGTATGTTGAATCTTTACCTCTCTTATGCATATTGTTTATCTTTTTAGGGAAAGTATTTATCTTTGGAGTAATTATCTTTATAATTTCCTACCATTGATGTTTCTTGATTTTCTCGATAATTTATTTATAAGGCATTTTGATAGGGGGAGTTCTCATAAAAACTTGTGCTAAATTATCTTTTTGTCCCTTATTATGGGGAAGTGTTTTATTGCTTAATAAATGTGAGCTTTTATGTTTCTTATTTATTTTGTCTTACTTGTTCTTTTTGATTGATTCCAAAAGGGGGAGAGATAATAAGAAAAATAAATGAAATTGTGATTAATTTTGTTAAAATTAAATTTATGTTTGCCTTGATTGTGCTTCATGTTATCTCACACACCACTTTGATTACATTTTTCTTGAGTGGTTTGTAATCATCAAAAATGGGGAGATTGTTGGCTTTTTGGCTCTTAATCTCGGTTAATTAATTTAATTAATTAATGTTTTGATGATAACAAACATACTTAGTATTAATTGTTTTTGGTGTGTAAGAATTATTATTATAGAACATAAATTTATTATGAGTTTCAATAATATTATATGATTTAGTGATAATACATTTTCTTTTATTTGACAATTTTAGTAGTTTGAAGTGTCCACAACATAGAGCTCGAAATAAGGATTCCAACGTCTTTTGAATTACCTAAAATGGAGCTCAAACGAAGAAATTATGGTAGAAGGAAGTCGGAACGAAAAGTACACAAAGTGTATGACGTGGCAGTTGAGTCATTGCAACGGCCATTGAAAAAGCGATATGTGGTGTAATTTGTATCGTTAAAAACAAGGAAAAAGAAATGAAATGAAAAATAAAAGAAAAAGTTTTGAAAAAAAACAAAACAAAGTTACCGTTGTTAACTTGTAAGAGAAAAAAAAAGTCAAATCGTGCGCTGTCAACCCATTAATTGAAAAGAAAAAAAAGAAAAAAGAAAGATTACCGGAGAGTTTTTTTTTAAAAATATATTATTATTATTATTTTATTCAATTAAATCTCAACCTTGATTTCAATCATTAAAGATCTAATGACCCAAATTCAATTTCGATTTCAAATTTATTTTCAACTTTTCCTCGCCTATTTAAACCCCACTTCCTTCAACATTTTATATAACCCATCTCTCCCAATTTTCTCTCCAAATTTCTACATTGTTAATCTCTCTTCAAAGCTTCAATTTTTGTTCTATATTCTTGASGGAGATTTTTTACTTGAGAGATATTTGAGCTTCCGATTTTATTTCTTTTAGCCAATTTGAGGGCTTTTATTTGTAAGAATTTTTTCTTACAAATTTGTGAGCAAATATTTGTATACCCACTCTTTGAGAGAGTTTGTAAGTT